GAATGGTCGTTGTTGGACCGAATATAAATCGCGTGTTTGTTCAAAGTGAACTTTATTCTGGTGTATACATTTATCTTGAATTAGATGTAACACTCTCGTTTTTTATCGTAGGATTCTTGACTTNAGAGAGGGACACATGTCCGAAATAATATTTGAGATTTACGGGATAATCGATCTGAGTCATAATACAATTAGCCATTAAGAAACGCTTAGATATTTAGCTTGAATGGTCGTTGTTGGACCGAATATAAATCGCGTGTTTGTTCAAAGTGAACTTTATTCTGGTGTATACATTTATCTTGAATTAGATGTAACACTCTCGTTTTTTATCGTAGGATTCTTGACTTTGACATGGAGTTCTTGATCCTTTTTGTGTACGTGTAGTATATGTATTTTTGAAGAACTCATTCAACACCGTTTGAAGTGTTTATGCTTGATATGAGTAATACAACTAACTGAGTTGAGCTGGTAAATAATGTCAGGTCAAATTGACTAATCTTCAAGTATAAGTAATCTCCCTAGTGTTTGAGTTTTGAGGTATGAGAACTAAAACACTGGAATCATAATTTGACAATCCGCGGTCTAATAGTCCCCGGTAGGATAGTTAACTTCGATATTGATGGACTTTCATATGGTCCAGTTCCAACATAGGGACGGTATCGAAGCTCTTTTAATAAAATATTTTGTACTCTAGTCGGGAACTACGGAGGTTCCAAAATGTTGTCGAGAATTATGCCATATCTTGATTTGAGCTATTCATACTAACTTTGATGAGTTTTTGATTTAAAGCCTTATTACCGGAGTAATTTTCACTGCTTTCTTTATAAATTTCTCGTATCATATATTTTGTTTGTTTGGTCCATGTGCCATTTTAGCTTTTGGAGCCTTGAATATTCTCAAATATAATTCTCCTTCAACAAGGCAGGTAGTACGGGATGAGAAGCACTCAGAGTTATCAAGAGCATATTTGTCTTTGGGTAAAGTCCCATTCTGCAAGTAATAAATGAATTTATTATGTCAATTCCAAATTAAATTAGTCAGGCTTACCTCAATTTCATTATAATTGATGATAGATCAGGGATCGCCTAAATAAGGGATGGTTCAATACCGAGACTGTTTGATTCGGAAACGATATTTCTCAATAAGTGCCCGGAGTTGCTTTCTAAGTCAGTGATATCAGCAGTAGATCTGAGACTAACACATCCAACTCGATTTTCTTGGGCTGCATAGTTTTTTTGGATTTGATCAATCGTTAAATCAATATTTTTTCTCTGAGTCCCCAAGCTAATTTAAGCCCTGTAGCATATGCTTCATACTCGGTTTTGTTGTTAGTAATAAAATAACTTTTATGAATTATCTAACTACTTTCCCTGATAGGCATTAAGCATTGCCCCTAACTCGGGAGGTTTAGTACTTGTGGACCTAATTGTGTAGAAGGTCCAGATCCCGAGAATTATCCCAGAAATAACATGTTCGGGTAATATGTTCGAGCTAAAATTAATCATGAAATCTACTAAATTTGTGATTTTATAGTCGTACGTGGCTGATAAACAATATCATATTCACGTAGTTCGACTACTCATTTAGCTAGCCTTCCTGACAGTTCATGTTTATGCAAAATATTACGTAATGAAAATATAGTGACTACGAAAATTGAATGACATTGAAAATAAGGCCTTAGATTTAGGGAAACTACAATTAATGCCAACTTATCAAAATGTAGATATACAATTTCCGTATCTAAGAGCATTTTATAATAGATAGGATAATGTGTACCTTTATCTTCTTGAATTAAAATTGCATTTACCTACACATCCAAGATAATTTGGTGTACCGGCAATCATCTTTCTCCTCAGAATTTTGAAAGTAATGATGTGTTGTTGTTAGATAGCAAGTTCGAATGATTCGACTTTTCGGACCAAACCGATCTTTCGAAGTTCTGTAACTTTATCTTTTATTATTTGACTCTAGTTTGTTCTTTTGCTTGACCGGATTATACCGCGGGTCAATATTGAGCATATAAAACTTTTCCTCCGGTGGTACACCTGCTATGTTAGCTGGAGGAAAGTAAAGCAATTTTTGTTAGCATGTAAAAGTTTAATCACATTACCTTTAAATTCGGTGTCGAGTCTCGACCAACGTAAACCATCCTATTTGAGAAGTCAATGATAATTTCTAGTTCTTCAGCATTTGACCTCGTGGCTTCTGATGCCTTCGGTTCAATGATTGCTTCCGAAAATATCTGTATAATTGTCCAAGGTTATTAATGAACCTTCCTTCCTCGTGTCTATTCCATCCCGCAGCTATCTCTTCTTTTTAGTTGTTAGGTGTGGTATCTTTGTAAGCAATATCATGGGTATTTTACCCATGTTCTTCCTAATTTCATTCTTCTCCTGTGAAATTTTACAATTTAGCAAGGTAATTCCTTGCTTGTTTAGGTAGAGCCGGATCTTTTCAGCCCGTGAAGAAAATCTCGTATCTCTTTGCTCGGACCTGTTTTTTAGATTTTTGCATTTAGATTCGAATCACCCAAGAATCACATCCACTTGATCTCCGGACCTGTTTTGACTTTCAATTGAATGAACATGTCTTCCTCTATTCGAAGCTTTGTATTATATCGAATGTAAATTTTACTCCTCAGTTCCGGGAAGGTCCGGCGTTATTCTTCTGACTCCTTCAATCATATCCGGAATCACCTCGGTTTGGTTTTCGAACCTGTTTTTGGACACTTATTAGTGTCTATTCGACTTACCGTGTCTTCTTCTGTTTAAATTTCGGTGCTGCAATGGTTATGCATATCATTCTCGCAGGATAGATAGGAATTCCCGGAGGTGTTCTATCCGCTCGTTCTGTTCCTTGATCTGTTTCTGTAAGGTTAGAACTAAATTTTGCAAATTAAAATTACCTGGTGTATCTGAACCTCCTATTCCGAAACTGTTTCGTATAGATCCGTTATAATCAGTTCTGGTACTGATAGTTGCGGTACCAATATATCGATGTACATTCTCTATTTTTCTCTGCTTGTTGCTTACATATCATTATCATGGCTATTATTCCCTTTTTATTTTGCATGGTAAAGCCATCTCCAACTTGGTTATCCTCAGTTGTGTTGATTGGTAAATTTCGGCCATGATGAAGGTTTAAACTGAAAACAAGCGAATATTAACAAAAATGTTACTATCTTTGGATGAATAGCAAATTTGTTTGAGTTCCCGGTAATGGAACCAATCTGTTTAACCCAAAATATAGTTTTCAAGATCAAAGCAATAATTTTATAGGACGGGCCACAAGCAACCGATTCAATCCGAAAGATATAAAATTTCGTTAATACAACGTGATAGAGAAGTAAAAAATAAATTCAATGACAGATAATATAATAAAAATAAAGCAGAGAAGAAAGAATTCTTATTGAATGATCCTTGATAGGATAATGAGCCGAACAGAGCTTGAAGGGCCGAATTATGTCTAACTTGAGAGCAATATGCTATAAATTACAATGTATAGAATTGTAGAGAAGAAAATTAGATTCCCCTGATGGTGGTAAAAGTATGTCTATTTATAGGGCTAAATCTAAGTAACTAGTCTCCTTGAATTATGGGTCCATTATGAGCATTTACTCAATCCATCCATTACTTTTGGAAGACTTGTAATAGTTGTGTAAATGCTGGAATTCCGTAACTGATAAGTTAATTCTATAACTGATGAGTTAATTCCATAACTGATGAGTTAATTCTGTTAATTAATGAGTCAATCTCGTGCTTGTTCTGGGCTATTTCATGATGATCAGTTCCGGGCGAACAGACACGATATGAGTATGTTCGATCCCGGAGATGTTTCACATATCATCTTTACATGTCATTCTTCATTTTTCTTCAAACTTATTGACACGTATCGTCATTCCCACATGGCGAATCTTATTTTTACTAATACAATGAGGCGTCTGGTTATCTCACAAAGTAAAAAACAAGCACTCACAACAAATAATATAAAAAAATTACAAAACAAAACAAAAGCAAAGCGGTTTACTAATTGAATGACCACTTTTAAATTTAATAGCAATTTCAAACTCTCGAATGAGAGGCTCGGAAACTGTGAAATATAATTAGGGTTTGGATATTTCTATCTCCTTTGTTCTGTTAATGTATTAGGCTCCCAGAGAACTAATTATAACAACACACTGTCCATATATACTATTGGTATTTATCTGAACAAACAAAATCAATTGGGATACAGCTAATTAGGTAGGTACAATGCGCAATAGTCTTATCCCTCTGGTGCCCACTGATATCCTATTTTTTGGCACTAAATTGAAACATGGCTTTGCACCACAACCGTGACCCAACTCCTAAGTGCCAATCCTTATAGATTTGAGAGGGTAGGGACCCCTAAACTGCTTATAATGCCACCACTACGAATACTTCATTTCATAAAAAATGTCCCTACACTTCCTCTTTATTTTTTTTTTGACGTTGCTAATTGTTGCAATACAGAATAAATTCAGTGCTAAAGTATATAAATCTCGCGTACAATCAGATAAAACTGATTTACAACAATAGATTAATTTTCATATCATACGCCGATTAATAATGTGAGAAGTTGTAATAACCAGTATAATCGCAGAGTGCATTTTTTTTTTTTTTACAGTATAATATCCTGAAGGTCAGTTTAGTAAATGCAACTCAAGATTAGGCCACACCTAACCACAGTATTTTCCTTGTGTAAATAAATATGCATGTGATCATGCAAACATAAAGATAGTGCTTAGTTTTTCTAGTATTGTGGATATAATATTGTTGCACACTAGCAGTTCCAACCAAAGATAAGCTTACTAGCTGCTATCCAATATGGCATCAGCTGCGCTTATTCTGTCGCTTCTCATTGCCGTGCAACTGCCATATTTGAGAAGCTTGTCTTTACAAAGCAGTAGCTATAGCCCACTTGAAAATCAAGAAAAAGACAATATTGGGCAGTTAGAGGAATGGATATCTTTGAATGTGAAGCACTACAACAGAAAGAGAGCAGCAAGTTTGAAATGGATGCAAGAATCAGTCAGAAACAGGAAACAACAAGTTCCATCGTCTAGTAGCCTGGATCCAAGGCTTAGAAATGCGGAGTTGAACAAAATTTTAATCAGTGTGAATCAAGAAGGAATTGGCAATTTCAAGACCATTAAAGAAGCTCTTGCTAGCATTCCTGTTTATAACAAGCGTCGTGTCATATTGGATATCAAACCTGGAGTTTATAGGTATGTATTTGCTAATTCCTAGTACTCCATCACTGACGACAATATAGAAGATATTTACACGATCAGGTTAATGACTGAATTGCAGATAGATACACACATGCATACACTAGCTAAAATATGGATTAGTAATATGAAACTGTGAATAATTTTTAAATATTACGTCACTTAAAAATTAAATATTGCAAATAACTTTTGATAATAAGCATAAAGTGGTAACATATATAACTGATTTGTTAATGATAGTACTCCATAATAATATTGATGGTGAAAAACTCTTTTAGACTAGCAGAGTATAAATCCATCTTAAAAACAAATTAACTTGCTATGGCCTATTAAACTATACTATAGTATATAATATCTTTAACCACTCAGCATATATCAAATTTAAAAACATACATAGTTACTACTAGCAGTAATTTTGGGAGAGGGAGGAGTAAAGGAATATTAGTGATGCGGATGAAATTTTAGAATATTATCAACTTATAGGGAAAAGATTAACATTCCAAGAAGTTTGCCATTCGTGACATTTCGGGGGGATAGCAGCGATCCGCCGAGGATCACAGGCAACGATACAGCTGCGGCCGCTGGAACCGACGGCAGGCCTTTGAAGACATTCCAAAGTGCTACTGTTTCTGTGGATGCTGATTATTTTGTGGCCATTAACGTCATTTTTGAGGTAAATCTCTATATTCTTGTCTAGGGGTGTACTGTTTTTAAAAAGCTGTTTACTAGACCAATAGTCCAATACGCAAATGAATTAAGACATTCCCTATGCATCCAGTAGGTCCATGATACTGTTGTAAGGTATCACATGGATTTTGTTCAATTAGCCTGTTTTTGTCAAGCTTGCATGATCTTTTCTAAATCATTAAGATTATTCCTACACTTTTTATGTAGTTTTTCAATATTTTCAAGTACCAATGTGAGATCTTTATTCAGATATCAAACAAATTTTTTACAAGTTCGTAGGTGAAGGCAAATTCTACTGCCATACAAAACATTCCAAAGGATAAAACAAAAATTGAAACAGCGTTAGCATATATAAGTATTGCTAATATTTGAATATATTAGTGTCTCAATCAAAGACAAGGCAAATTGCAGTTTGCAGGTCGTGCACTGACAAAATTGTCCTCTGTATTTGTGTCTTTGTAATTGGAGCGCTATAAAATTTAACTTGTCATAATATTGGAAACGTCAATATAATGTCACTATATAAAGGAGATTGGCAATATATGTACTACATTTGATAAAGAAAATTAAGATACGTAGGAGATAGAACATTGGTTTTGTAGAATACAGCAGCACATGTGGTAGGGTCGGTGGGAGAACAAGCAGTGGCACTGAGAATATCGGGGAACAAGGCTGCATTTTACGACTGCAGTTTCTACGGAAGTCAAGACACCCTTTACGATCACAAGGGACTTCACTATTTCAATAATTGCTTCGTTCAAGGCTCTGTTGATTTCATCTTCGGCTATGGCAGATCCCTCTATGAGGTCAGTTCATCTTTCCTCAATTCTCATATTTTATTACCCCACCGTACATCCTCTACTTATTGAAAGATGAGATGAAAATTTACATTTTCTTGTTATTAATTAGGCCGTTCTGAAGAAGTTAATTAAAATTTATGATTACACTAGATCATAACATACCATAAGTTATTTATCCTTGAACAAGGTGCTCAATTGTTTAGGCTCAAAACATAGTATGCGTGTGATCCGAATTATACGTTCGTACTAATTGTTAGTAATCTATATTTGCAAAGTAATTCTGGAAATAAAATAACGTAAAAACATAAATATAAAAGAAGCAGATATTAATGTGAGTCCACTGAATTCACAGTGTTCCTTAAGGAACTTAATCCCCTCCTAGTATATGAGGTGATGGATTATTTCCTGCCAAAATAGAATGGATTACACGCTGGTGTAGCGGTACTTCAAACCCAGCGTTTGAGCATACACAAATGATTGGTAGCAAATCACACTTATTGTTGCTTTCTTTCAGTTAAAACAATGCAGAAGAAAGAAGGAGAATTCAAAATTTTCGTAAGGAAAATCTGAGGAAATGACCTGCTATTTATAGCCAACAGGTTAGATTTAAACGAAGAGGTGCAACTCTTCAAGATGATCATTCATGTACAACGGCTATTATATAAATGGCTATTTACGCAAAATAAAACGGGAAAATAATATCTGAGGGAAACTTTCCTGAACTACGGCCGCGAGGCAATTATCTGTAGTCCGCAGAATTAGGACTGCGGCTGCAATGTATTCTTCTGCGGCTACACAATTCTTGTGCGGTCTGCAATTCTTAGTGGCTCCTGGACTTGGTCTTTTTTCACACCCTCTGATCTTCAGCTTAGAGCTCAGCTTTGCGGCCGCAAAATTCATGTGCGGTCTGCAATTTGCGCAATTGTCTGCTAAAGTTTCCCTCTTTGTTTGCGGCCGCAGATGGAAATCTGCGGTCCGAAATTTCTTCTGTGGCCGCAGAATTCCTATCCATCTGCGGCCGCAATTTCTTCTGTGGCCGCAGAATTCCTTCTGCGAACCGCGCAGTTGTGCTCCTACACCCTTTATTTTTTTGTGCCCCGGACTACTTCTTTTTGAGTCAAATTTCATCTCGGGAGATTAACTTCCATCATTCCTGCAATTTGTATAATTTCATTAGTATCGGGAACACAATTCAATGCTTTTAGACTAAAACTAAAGTTAAAAGGCGCTAATAAGCAGTCAAAATCCCCACTTATCAACTCCCTCAAACTTAAGTCTTTTCTTGTCCTCAAGAGAATAAATTAGTTCCTACCTCCAAAAGTTAAGGGTCATTTCAACGACTCGAAGGTGAGCCATCCACACATCAGTTGGGACCAACAATTACCCACACTACTCATGAATTATCAACAAGGCGACAAGTTAAACATTCATACACATATAGTTCTAATGTGACATTTGAGCTTCAAGAGTTAACTTAACTCATCAAGGACTCTCGCTCTATCTTGTAGGTCATGGTGGATTCCAAACTCTTCCTCCTCTAGTTTCCATTTGCCAATCTCACTTAAGAATTTAGCACTCAATTCAAAGATTTATGAAAGGTTCGGTCATCTCTCCCAGGAGAATGTCACAAGTACGACTTCAAGTACCATAGGCTTGCCCCTCATGTAGATTACCATTAATGTAAGCTCACTCGGCTCAAAATCAAGTAGGACTTCTTTCGGGATGTAATGAAAACTTTTGGATTAGGGATTGATTCAATATGGGTAAGTGGTTACACCTTCCTTAAGCACTCCATTTTTCATTTCTCGGCTCACACTGTGCCTATTCCTTGAGGCATTTTCTTTCTCTTGGGTGACTAGAGAGACTTAACATCACTATTTCTTGATTATTACATTCATAACTCTCCATGTTTTGGATCATTGTCTTTCTTTAAATCCCTTCAACTCTTCTACTTATTCACTTTTTTGTATTTTTTTTATTCTTTTCTTTTCTTTGCCTTTCCTTCTCATCGTTTCTTTTCTCTTTTTATGCCTTGATACCTTTTTCAATTTCCTTGTCTCTCCCCTAAACTTATATTTTTAGCCATTTGTTTCACGTGAGTGTTAAGAAAAGCTCGGGTGCCAAGAGAGGGTTATAATAGAACGGGTAAACGCTTGTAACGTGATTTTCCAATGAGTAAGTCCAAAGGCTCGAAGGGATTAACTAGGGATGACATCATTTGTAGGCAATATAAAATTCAAACGGGCCAAGGAAATCCTATAATCACTTCTCAAGCTAAGCACGACTTACGATTTTTCCTTGAAATACATTCGGGGTAAGTTTTAGACCTTTTGCACAAGTATTTGGACTAATGAAAAAGAAATTCACCTCTCACACGACTGGTTAAAGAGGATAGAGTTGAGGGCCCACAACGACCACATTCAAGTTTGAAAATCACTATGGTTCAATTAAATCACTCGACGGTTGTCAAAGTCAACACAAGAGTCACAAAGTCACTAACTAGAGCTATTTCTTTCAAAAATCCTATTTTTAACCATAAGCACATAGTTAAGTGTGTTGGTACCAAATGAAGCACGATTGACTCTTTGAGCATGACTCTGTTAGGTTTTTTTATTCATTACTACTACCATTATTACCTAAACACAAACGGACTCATTCACTTAAGAAGGGTGTCACACCATCCATTGTTGGGACAAGTTACCCGGTTCACACAACAACTACCTTTGGAAATAACCACGGCATTAAAAAAACCAAAGGCTTATTATCTACTAAAACATAAAAAAGAAGCTACTAAATCAAACACTAACTTGTACGGAAACAAACATCAAGAAGCTACAAAGCAAAAACTATTGAAAATAGAATGAATATATATAATGAGAGAAGAGACAGAATATTTACATAATGAGAAAGAAAAAGAAAATAGCATGAAGTTAATTACAGGCCAAATGTCTCAGAATCATCAAATAAGATCAAATAAACTCCACCCCCTCTCCCGATTAAAAATAAGCATTGTCCCCAATGCTTAACAAAATAAGAATAAAGGAAGGGAAAGAGTGAAGAAAACTCCATATAGATCCTTGTACATCTTTGTGTCCATAGCAACATCACCGCCCTCATTCTCATCCAACTAGATATCATCATCTTCAACTGTGGGAGTGACTGGGTTGGTGAACATCTGATGCGCTGCCTCGGCAGTGTCTGCAGCAAAGTCTGGCTCCTCAGACTGGCCAACTGGCGCCTCTAGTGCTGATGGTGCTATAGGATCTGGGCCTAGGTGGTTTGGGTCAATCAGCATGTCAAAAGGGAGATCTCCGACTGCAGCAAGCTTGGTCATCTATCTCCAGAGCTTATCCATTGACTTCTTGCTAGCCTGGGACTTTCTCATTTTCTTTACTTCTTTACCCAGCTCTTCGATCACTGAACCAAGGTCTCCATGATAGTGTTCTGGTTTTCCAGGAGCTTCTTCAATGTTTCTTCAACTAATGGGGGAAGTTGAGGTTCCTGAACGGAAGACTATGCTGCAATAGTACTAGATATGTTAGATAGCTTTGTTGTGGCTGTCTGCATCCAATTGTTGAGGATCACCAATGTCTAGGAGACTCGCAGCACAGAAAGTGGAGTAGTAGGCATGGGCACCGGCTTCAAAGCTGAGGTGGAACCTGTGGCAAGAAATGCAATGGGAACTGAAAATTGTGGTGGAGGCATAGCTGCGACACTAGAAGAAGGTTCGGCCGAAGTGGATGGACCATCAACTGCTTCCGCAACTACCATAATTGGCTCGTCAAATTGGCCCGCAGTGGTTGGAGGCTTAACTTACTTCTTTGGGTTCTTAGCATCCATCAAAGAGCACCATGAGAAAGGCCTTTTCGGTTGCCCCTTCGTATCATAATCTCTCAGCTCTACACCTGCATCTGTGAGATACTTTGTAATAGTATTGGGATACGGGTAGGACGAGTCAGCTTTCCTAGCCATCATAGAGATGTTGGCCGACATCAAGGCACCCACATTGATCGGATACCCGGCCATAATAAAAGCAACTAAAACTGTCCGAGGAATTGAAAGATAGGTCTCATTCTGGCACGGGTTTAGTTTGCTGCAAACAAAGGTTTGCCACCCCTTCATCTCAAATTTTAGAGTGTTCTTCTGAATAGGAACCCATACTGTGATCCATAGTGGTGGTGGTCCAAGAGCTGCTAGAATCTCCACTAACCAAGGACGAGTTGCCTTCCCAAGTGCATACTTCTCTAAGTACTCTGTGGGCTCGACATCATCAAGTCCCAAGTCTGTGTTCAATGTGTGCTGATCAAATCACACCTTGAGGTTTCTCACTTTCGTCACCTTTGTCCCCTTTTTGATATGCGCCATATTGCGTAGAATTCCGTGACAATGTACTCCTTAGCATCCACCATGCATTGGGTAAATCACATCCACCCTTTGTGTTCCTTGAACTGTTTCAGCATTGTTGGGTTATACTTATCTAGATCCTTCAACTGAAATTGTCGCTCAAGAGTGAGCGACCTCACTGGACATCATTCACGGAAACTGGAGAAGGCTGCTAAGTTGACAAACAGGTCCTCCCATACCTTTTTCTTCTTCGACCTTTCAAGGCCAGCAACTGTAGCATCTCCCCCTCTGCCGTCATCGGGGATGTCCTGAATTGATGTATCTAGTGCCTCAGAGACAGGTGTAATGGAAGGCTCAGAAGCTTGACTGGCACTGTCTGATCCCTCGGAAGTGCTATGAGATGAGGAGGACTCGTCCTTGAGTTGATATCTTCCTGGCGGTCTTGACTGGGCATCCTGCTGCTCTTGTACAGAGGCTGAGTTGGCCTCTGATGCTTCCCTAGATGGGACATAAGAACTGGTCTCGGAGAGGTTTGCACCTCTCCCTCTGCCGGTTGTAGGCTTCTTTGTGATGGTTCTTTGCTGGCCGAGGGGTAAGGCACTCTTGCCTCGACCCCTAGAAGGTTCACCCCTTTCTCTCGAAGTGTCGCCTTTGCCTCTAGATCGAACCATTTTCTGTAGCAAGCAAAGGCAGTTGTTAATTGCAATTCAAGTTCAGACATACAA